CCTCGAGCAGCAGGGCTAGAGGGGCCGCCGCCGCCGCCTCGGCCCAGCCCGGCGACCCCCCCGGCACCGCCATCTAGGCACTACATAAACGTGGGGGAGGCGCCTCCTCACACAACACCTCGGGGGGCTAGCGCAGAGGCCAGGCCGGTTGTCCTCTATTGATACGGAATTCCACGCCTTTATGTCCTTTAGTTTTCTCTTGAAGAGAAAAATAATGGACAAAGGCGTGACAGAGTAACAGAAAACCGGCATGTGCTCTGTGCTGGCCCCCCCCCATAACACCCCACCTGTTTGTCTGCTGGTAAAAAAGAAACAAAGCTTTACGAATATGCCAGCGCCCGAGGCCTGGGTTATTCGGGTTGCCATTGATGAGAAAAACACCCAGCTAGAATCGCACTGGGATGAGTTAGGAACAAGATGCGGGGTTGTGAAATAGGAGCTGCCTTTACTAGGAACAGGCAGGACCCTTCAAAAAAAGAAACCAAACCAAACCCAATGAGAGGGGGCATTAACACCTGGGGAATTAAGAGTTTAAAATGAGGTATGAAGTCCACTGCTGCCCTCAGCACTGCCCAGCTAGAAATGCTGCTGCCACTGCCAGGCAGTTTGATTTTTGCTCTATTCAAACTTTAAAACTAAGGGGCTGCAAGTGCACCATTGCACCCCTTTGGATCCACCCCCAGCTCGAGAAATCCCAGGTAGAGGCCATGCCCCAGAGGAAGGCAACCCCTCATGCCTGACCACAGGGTACAATCCCTTCCTGACACCCAACTATGACAATCGGTTGGACAGAGAGGGGGCAAGAATTTCTGGGTTTAAGTCCCAGCAGGAGCATTCGCATACCCCAGTCCATGAGGGGTCATTCTAACACGGGCTGGAGGAAAAAGCCATGCATACCGGGCTAACATTTCGGTGCTGTGGCCATCAACAACCAAACAACAACAACGAGCTGAGCATTCAAGAGATGGATGGATAACACCCGATACTTCTCAACCTCTGTTTTCTAAATGGATAACACCAAGCAACAAAAGGCTACCTTTCCACTCTTGCTGAAATGTGCCCTGGTAGTTTTAGGCAAGGGTCTTTAAGCCCTTTGAGATGCACTCTAAAGGGAGGAAGCTATTCTGCCAGACTGGGTTTTCAACATTCGCATTTAGGTCAGTGAACTGACACTGACATTTTGGCTGATCTTGGATTTCCACCCCAAACACTCAGCCCTGATGCAGTAATCATTATTTAGAGGTATCAGGGAGATCTCTCAAGTATATATGCATACTACACAACACGAACCATCAGATGTTTTGTATCAAACGCTTGTATTTTACACATCTACTGTGCAGAAGATTTCTCTTAAACCACAGATCATATGAAAAGCAACAGCTCCCCCCCTCACCAAGCATAACTCACTTCCGTAATTAGATGATAAAGTCAGACTGCACAGCGCAGCTGTATTTCCATTGGGTGACTGTTTTTCCCCAGAAATATTTTTTCCACTTTACCCCCGCCTCTAGATGCCACTGTCATCTGCATACACCCATGTATACTGCCAATCATCAACGTGCAGTGTAACTATCCAAACCTTAGTGACTTCGAGGAATCAAACCTCTACATTTCCCCAATTCAGGGCTTGCAAATAAGACGCTTAGTATTTGATTTCTCTGACTTTAATTGGACCCACTAGCCGTTCCATACCTTTTGCTTTTCCAAAGTCACTTATCTTGGCATATAAATAAAGATTAAAAGGAGCATTATGAGACAAAGGCAATTATTTAAAAAATCTTGGCCAGTGTGCCCCATATATTTATAGACATTGATCTCAACTTGTCTGGGCTTTCAAGAGATAAAAAGGAAAAATTGCTTTGGCTGTGTATATTTAAAACCTACCTGTTTACAGAAGGTGCTCAAGCATGTTTCTTGCGTAGCCATATTTGCAAACAGACAAGCACCAGCATTCATGGCCATCAGCATGCTGGCATGGCTGGTTTTGTTGGAACTTAGATTGCTTAGGGCTCCTCTATAGGTGGAGGTAAAGATGCTATGGGATCTAATGCGTGATCACATAATCATGCCTCCTGCCATGTCACATGTGTGACAGGAGGCATGATTATGAGATAGGACATAATGGGATCTCATGGGCGATCTCTGCTGCAGGGAGAGCCTGGGATCACAATCTTGGGCTCCTCCTTGACTGGCTCCTACAGTTGAGTCCCACAGTTGATGGGGCTTGGAGGGGTTTGCAATGCATTGGGTGTAGAATTCCTTGAACTGCTCCTGCTGTGAGCCCCACAGCCAATGTGGGCTGCAGGGCTCCCAGTGGGGGCAGCACTGGGAATGGTGCCCCTGCTACAAGCATTGCCCACTTCAGCGCTTGCAGCAGGGAGAATGCTGCCCCTGCTCCTCGTGTCTTGAGGTGTGGGGCTCGCAGCAATGGCAGTGTTTCCCCCGTGCTGCTCCTGCTGCGAACCCACACCTCAGGAGGTTTACAGCAGGGGCAGCAGTCTTCCTGCTGCCCCCGCTGTGAGCCCCACAGCAATGTGGGCTGCGGGGCTCGCAGGAGGGGCAACATAGGGGAATGCTGCCACAGCTGCAAGCCCCACAGCTCAGGAGGCTGGCAGCATCATCAACAACTCCTCCTTCTCCCCAGCTATTGCAGAATTAGTTTTTTGGGGAGGAAACTGAACTAACAATGTTTGGTAGAGCTTTGTGATGTGTTGTATAGGACTTTGAGAAGCTAACAATAGAAAACCTAATGCTAACATTCATCTATTTAACATGACTCTATTACCTCGTTATTAACACATCTGTTCCTTAGGACTGTGCGGGCCGGGAGCAACCCGAGCCCTTTTCCGTGCTGTACGCGGGCTGTGGCCAGCAGCCTGGGCATGCCGGGTCGGAGAGGGAAGGCCGTCGAGCTGGAATTAGGCACAAACGCTTAGCGGTAGTTTAAAAGATTGTTTACTTACACCGAGATGGCAGTGGTGTAGGCTGGAAAACTTGCTTGAGTTGCGGTTACAGACAAAGACAACAAAA